CCGACGACCCCTTCTACCAAGCCTGCCAGCCCTACTGACAATCATGCTGTAGCGTATCCTCCGATAAAGAGGCGACGCGATGAGGATGATCTTGATAGTGTAGCCGGGCGGGATGTGATGTGCCTCAGGGCAACGGCTGCATTAAAGCATACAGGATGTGGGACACATTTATTTATTTTTGTATTTTATGTACATATGACATTCAGTAAATAATAACAACAATTTTTATTGTTTACATTATATGCGCATTATGTTTTTATTTCTCCGTTTCTTCGTTATTTTAATACTACAACACAAACACAAACATAGCAACTTAATATAATTTAAATTCAGTACAACTAATGAAAATACATGATACGAAAATCATAAAGATAAAATACTACACTCAACACATACATGTGCTTGTTTAGTCACTACCACCTATTATTCTCTGCTCCAACCACTTAAATTTCTCTTCCAGTCTATTTTTTTCTTCTTCCGCCTCTTTTAGTTTTTCCTGCACTACCGCAATTTCTCGTTGCATTTCAGAGATCTGGCGTTGGTATTCATCGTTCATATTCCAAACATACTACAAACATGATTTGTAGTATTCCTGGTTAATGGATTCATCATACCATTCCTCAAACATACATTGATTTTCGTCATTGCGTCCAAACAATTATTGACATATCCAGTATCTGTGCCCAACATTACCATCTGACCAACCTGCCTTCAAAATCGCACATTTGCCACAATAGCACCTTGGTTGGTCATTGCGTCCAGACATTTGTTAATGCAAGAAAAATAAAAAATTTAGGGAAAGTTTTGCTATTTGTTTTGGTTAAGCGTATATAATAACTAAAATACGCTAGTTATTTATAGGCAAGATAACACACATAACGTAGTATTTCACCGCGCTATGTTTCGCGTGTTAAAGATTCTTTCGGGTACAATACAGCTTTTTCAGAAGTTAGCTTTTGCAGGCGAACAGCTTTTCAGGTCGACAAGACAACACACATAACATAGTATTTCACTGTGCTATGCTTTGCGTGTTAAATATTCTTTCGAGTACAATACATCTTTTCAAGAAGATAGCTTTTGCAGGCAAGCAACTTTTCAGGTCGATAAGATAATTGTTTTTTTTAAATAGGTTTATGTTAGATTGTTGTACTGAAGTATTAATGTTAAATATCAATAAGATTTAACAGCAATGGAAACATAATTTTATTTCATACATTCTGCAAGATAAACAAGTACATACACTTATTACAACCACATTACGGAAACAAAACACTACGTGTATCCTAGATAGTTGGGCACATTAGATGAACTTCTACTAGGAGTTGGATTACCACCGCCACCCAGACCAACTGAAGGACATTTACGATGGTCATGTCCTGTTTGCGAGCATATGCCATATTTGCGCGCATAAACGGTATCACCAACATCCATTTGGTTCCGTATATGCATTCTTTTTTTCACTTGTCTTTGACGTACATAGTCCTTGTTACACACCGTTTTAAATGGTCCCGACGGCCAATAATGTTCAGCACCCACTGGTTGCAACTGTCCACTATAGGTGTTTAAGTATGCAGCAACACTATATTCTTTATCAACGTAGTTGGTTGCCCCTAAACCTGTATGTTGAAAGCACTTGATGGCATGTGAGCACGACATGTGGTAGATGGATCATTTCTCACAAGAGCATAACCTTCTGGCTTCATTTACGGTGTATGTATTATTCCTCCGATTTTGATGGATAGCGGTGCGAACTTTAAAAATATTTCGCTCATTGCAATACTGTAAATATGAATGCCAATGTGCTCGCCGCCTGTATTTCTCAAATCTTTTCATTGGTATTGGCATAAATTCAACACCCTTTTCCATCAATGACGATGCACCTCTAGCCCTTTCAACAAACCTCTCCGACATCTGCTTGAATGACGTCCGCACCATGGCAGTGACAGGCAATCCACGTGCAGACTTCAATAACCCGTTGAAAGACCCTGACACATTTGTAGTAAGAATTTCCCATCTTCTGCCACCATCCGCATGCAAAGTCCACTTGTTAAGCTCATGTCACATCAACCAACGATATGCTCCCTCATCTTCCTGCCTGATAGATTCCATGCGCCTCCTAAATTTACATTCTTGGTGATCTGTAGCAGCCATCCACATTAAATCATGCAAATCCTTATTGGGATATGCCTTCTGGAAATTGGCCTTCAGGTGCCTCACAAGTAACGGTGGTAGGTATACGGTTCCTCCCATACACGTAAATTCTATATAGAACTTAAAATACCACTATGCCGACCAGATATTAGACAAATACCTGAACGTTGTTTGATAACGTGCTCTTTCAAGTGGTTCAAAAATAGTGTCCACATCTCTTGGCTTTCATTGGCACAAATAGAAAAATCTAAGGGAAATATACTTCCATTAGCATCTACTGCAACGGCGATCAATAACTTAATTTCATACTTTCCATAGACATGAGTGTCGTCTATGGATATTACCGGCCGGCAATGCAGAAAACTATCAATTGCTGGTTTAAATGCCCAGAACACATATTTGAATATATGTTCTGGTATTTCCGGACTCCGCTCAAGCTTCCATTCAACAACAATCCCGGGGTTAAAGTGTTGCAATGCAGCCATGTACCTGGGTAGAGATGCAAAGGACTTATTTCAGTTACCATAAACAATTTCAAACGCACGTTTGCGCTCGAGAAATGCCTTTCTTTTGGTAATGGTGCACCCATATTCCTGGTGGACGGATATTATACACTCTTTGATCTTGTACCTTATGGACGATTCAATATGTGGAATCAAGACAAGAGAAATTAAGTTAACATTCAAGTTAAAATGATTCTCACTGAATATCTCTATTTCACAATCATGGATGCCAATGTATTTACCCACAACCCACATATTTATTTTCTTCTTCCTTGTACGCAGCATCCAATTACAACCCATAAACCATCTACGGCAGACTACCTTGTATACATCTGGATATGACTCGTGTACCATGATCTCACGACACTCTTTTACGCTGTACATTAGCGCCGCCCTGGTTAGGCGCGTTTAATCGGGAAAAAGTATGCCCTTTGACAGCACCGTTGCTCTAGATTCATCCCACATTGCTGTCCGAATTTCATCAATATCCCTTGTGAGGGCATCCACATCTGGCATACTTGGCAAATGATCAAGGTAGGGAATCTCCCTTGAATTAAATGGCACGTGGGACTCGTACACTCTTGGTCTAATGGGGGTGGAGCATGCTCCCTCGTCAAATCAGGTCCAGCATTCTCTTCCTCCTCATCATCATCACCCTCATCAGGGAAGGGTGTGTCATCTCCAGACTCATCGACATTGTTGTCATAATCACTATTCTCTTCCTGACTCTGTGCATCTACCAGATCCCAATTAAATATGTCATCTTCGGGCAATTGAGTAAGGACAGAACCTTCAGGATGCTCGTTTTCACTGTATAACTAACAAAATAATGAGTCACTTAAATTGATAAATACTTTACATATAGCTATATCACTTCACTTATAAATCGTAATGTGTTGACATCCCATGATGGACATTATCCTATTGGTGATGACTCCCGGATGGATCACCATGATCCAACACACCAGAACTAGGCATATTCCAACTGGGCGTTGGTTCATAACTTGTAATATTCATATCTGGCCGGTACCCCCTGTGGAATATATGAGTGTTAATACAAATTCAATATAGCAAAAATAAATATCATAACACAAAGGAAAATTAAAGTTTACCACTCATCTTGTGGATTATATAAACTAGGAGAGAAATTATTTCTTCGCTCCTTATTAGCCCGTGGAGATAAGTTTGGATCACGCCAAACTCTTTCAGCTGGAACCTGTTCGGCTAAAACTGCTCCAAAATAATCACCCGATGACTGATGGATATCCCTGCTTTGCGCAACCTCATTATTTCGAACGTCTTCAACCTTGACGTACATTTTCAATATTTTTATCACAAGAAATTCCCGGTATTCATCCGGAGTCCTCAAAAAATCTCTTAGAGTTTCATCGTCCTCGATGTTAAACTCAGCATAACAAGCAACCTCTTGCGGAGTGACAGAATACGGATATCTTTCGGTTACTTTAAGGTTCACCGAACGTTTGCTCATACTCATTTTTTACATAATAACGATACCAATGTATCGTACTCCATTGTAAGTGGCAACTTAACATGACACTGTAGAGATAAACTATAGATTACTGAGTTATTCGCCACCACAACCTCATCCCCCCTCCCCCTCAATATAATAAAACCCTTATTTTTCGCTTTTCAGACATTATGAAAAAATGCAAAATAATTTAACGAAGAAATATTTCAAAAGTCTTGAGAATATTTGTGAATTGATTTTTAGAAAATCCTTAACCTCTTTAAATAAGGCAAAAACCAATCTGTGGGTATAATTATTTTAGGTATAGCGCTTTAAATAAGGGCGCTATACCCAGTTGAATTATTGTTATGTCAGTTAAGCCCAGAAGAATTATTGGTGGGACCACATAATATGTATGCGCAGTAAGGAAAGGCGTTATATATATAGCGCCTTTTAAAAAGGCGCTATACTTAACTGGGCAAACGGTCGTTAAGGTATAGCGCCCTTTAAAAGGGCGTTATATATAAAATTGTCACTAAGTTTTTTCCCCACACATTTTGGTTTTTTGGGTCCAAAAGAATCATATTTTGGTTCCGGACACTAAAAAGAATACCTACCGTTGCAGAGATGAAAATTACTTACACAACGGTAGAAGATTTTTACTAATCCTCTACTTTCTTTTCTTACTGATATACATATATACATATATATTTTCTATATGAGCAAAGATACCTCATGATGTGGCTGCTTGGGATATATACATACTATGTATGCAATGGCAGATTTTTTTTACTGTGCATTTTGGTCCATAAAAGAAAACTGGGGGACCTTTGTAAAAAAAAAGAGAAAAAAAGCGAGTTACCTTAGTTTTACCCACCAGAACCTCATATTCCTCACGTCTCTTTTCTCTCTGCTTGCTCACTCTATCTCACTCCTATTTTCTTTTTCTCTCACCAATTTTCATGGGTCCTCCACAGAAGACATCATTCTCAAAAGTTGCTTCATCTTCTACTGATGATTCTTGGTCCAATATTACTAAGAGTGTTGATGAAAAAGGGATCTACTTCAATCGAGAAGATGGTGTTGATGATGCATATGTTGCAAGGGTGATTCAATACTACCAATGGGACCTATTTTCTCAACCTACAGAAGTATTTTATCTAGATTTGGTAAGAGAATTCTATCAAAAGTTGGATCCTATCTCTTACTTTTCTACTGTTCAAGGAAAAAAATAGACTTCTCTCCTTCTGTAATTAGGAAGCTTTATAATCTGCCAATTTTTTAGGACAAAGCAATTTTAGCTTTCATAGAAAAATCAAATTGGGATTTAGTTGAAGAGAAATTATGTCCCCTTGGAGCACATTGGACTTATGATACAGATGGATTTAAAAGTAGTATTCGTTTTCGCAATTTTCTGTGCAGAGTAAGACCAATACTCGCATTTGTGAGTAGTCGTCTAGTCCCAAACGAGAGCAAAACAGAAATATACAGGGATCGAATACTTATGTCCTATGTGATTAGTTCTAGGATGCCTCTTGATGTTGCAAAACACCTCTCCACACAGATTCAATTCTGTCGTTTTAAGTCTAAGCAGAAAAGATTAGGGTTTCCTTCTACTATAACTCGGCTTATTCTTGAAGCCCGAGTTGAGCCAATAGAAGCTTTCACACGTTCAGGAAAAATGATCAATAAGACAATTTGGCTACAGATAGAAGAAACTATAGGGCCAAAAAGAAAACAGGGAGATGATGGAGGTAATACTAGGAAAAGACCAAAACCAACCATGCCTCTGTGGTTGCCATTTGCCGGTCTCCCTCAGAGTCGGAGACTAATATTCGCAATGCACCTTCGGCCTGCCGCATCCTGCGATCTAGGTCATCCAACCTTTGTACTAGGTTGGTTCTTAGCTCAAGCACAGTATCCATGATGGGTCGTAATATGCCAGCCGTCGCTTCAAGGGTCGCGATGCGATCCGCGTGATTCACCATGGTCAGAAATAGTGGTAATGGTAGTATGTTCCCTCGTCCGATGTCGAGCCTAGGCTCTGATACCAACTTTTATGCGGCGCCTTCCTGAGATTTCTTTGAAGGGCGACGTAAGGCTAAGCAACCGATGTTCGTGTAGTTACTATCCGGGAACTGAGGTCCCCCTCCATACGCTAGACTAGATTGTTAGTGTCGTACGGAAAAACCAATGTCAAGAGAAATTGAGAGAACAAAAAAGAGAATTGAGAATGAAAGAAAATTTGATTGCATTAATGAAAGCTATTACATAAAATCAACATGGTTTCGAGGGGGAGAGATACCAGTACAGAGAATTGCTTGCTTGCTAGAAAGTTCGATTGCTTGATCCCCTTAATAGTGCTTAAAAAAATAAATCAAAGTTACAGGACTTGACCTAGTGATGGATATAAATTATTCACATAATTTCATACGTAAAAAAATAAGTTTTTAAAATAAAATATGAATAATGATATCCTATCCTAACATATTTTCTAACAAATCTTGTAGGAAGAAGAAATTATGAAAAAGAGGGAAAAAAGGCTAAAAGACAAAATAATGAAGCAAAGCCATAGTTGCACACATCATCTTCATATTCGCAAATGTGGAATATACATATGGGCTTATGGAAAGAGATAATTAGAGATGAAAAGGAGCATAGATGCATGTGTGGAATCTATATTTGCAAAGGTTGCATTCGCACACATGGAACCTACATTTGCAAGTCTAACCCATGAAGTCAAGAATGGAAGCAAAAGAGCTATAGATGCATATGTGGAATCTATATACGCAAAGGACACATATGCATACATGGAACCTACATTTGCAAGTCTAACTCATGAAGTCAAGAATGGAAGTAAAAGATCTATAGATGCATATGTGGAATCTATATACGCAAATATCACATTTGCATACATGGAACCTACATTTGCAAGTCTAACTCATGAAGTCAAGAAGGGAAGCAAAAGAGTCATAGATGCATGTATGGAATCTATATTTGCAAAGATCACATTTGCATACATGGAACCTATATTTTCAAGTCTAACTCATGAAGTCAAGAGTGAAGCCCATAGTTGCATATATGGAATCTACGTACACAAAGGTCACTTCGCATACATGGATTTCACATTCGCAAAAGTGGAAAATGACAAAACTACTCATCTTTTCCTATAAATAGCAAGCTCTCTTTGTATAAGAAGATCCAATCTTTTGCAAGACAAGAACTAGTCTTGGCCTTCTTTCTTTATAGTAAAAATATGTTCTAGTCTTTTAAATATTTTTAGTCTTCTAAATATCTTTTTTAGCTTTTATTACTCCATAATGAAGTAATCTCTTTTCGTTGGGATAGTTGATGAAGCTTGATATATTTTATAACACTATCTCAGTTTTTATATATTCTTAGCTTGAAACGTTTTATTTACATTTCATACTGTGTTGAAATGATGGTTTTTAATTACTGTATTATCACTTCTATATATTTTATTTCTAAGTTATTCATATATTAATTTTGTAATTCTCGCAGAGCAAAATTAATATATAATAACTGATGAATAAAATAGTAGAGTGAAAGTAATTTTTTAGTAAACTATTAATTCAAGTCAGTAATCTTGCTTGCCTCAGTTTTAATTCTCACGGAGGAATTGTTGTAGACAAGATTATTGATCCTTAGTAAAAATATTCTCATGAAGTTTTTACTTTCTTTTAGCACAATTCAAGCAAGAAAAATATTTCGGTTTAAACGTCACTAGTCTTAAGTTGATTAATTAACATAATTCTCACAGAGTGTTATTAATTGGTTATTTCTTAGTGAGCAAAATATAATTGTATTAGAAATAAGCAATTATTCTTTAAAAAAATAAATGTAAAAATTGAGATTTTATTATAGTAATATTATCAAGTGAATTCAATAATTTTCAACTCTTTTAAAAAAAATTATAAATCTTTCGAAAGTTATTTGTTTTGTTTAAGTAATTAACAAGTTTTAAACCTCACTCACTTTTCATCAATTTGATTCTCTCAAATAGTAGTTAGAATATTACAAGTCTGTAGAATAGATTATCCAGTCTCTGTGGGACGATATCTTAAACTATACTAGAATTTGCCAGAGTAAAAGAAGCAAATTCCAATATACATTGGCCTCGTCACCTAACCAAGCTAAAGGAACATAATGGAAGTACATGAAATAAAACTACTCTATATTTACAATGAAAAGGACTTAGTTTTCTACAAGGTAGAAACATGTCTGTTGTCAGCAACCTTGTCTTTGGCATCACAGTCTGCGCGCGCGACGCTGTTGGCATCTGCCTGCGGCTGGGCATTGGCGAGGGCAATCGGTGGGGCGACAGAGGCACATGCGAGCTTGTCACTTGGCGCAACCAAGACCACGGGGCCGTCCATGACGCTAGGCGTTGGGAGGCTTGCTAGGACGCCATGGGGCGCGTCCAAGGGGTCATGGGGTATGGCTGAAAAGCCGCCCATGACATTACACATGTCAATTAGATTGTTTTCCTCATTTTGTGTAAAACTATTTCTCGATAAAATATTCAAAAAACTTTTGGAAAAAAATTATTTTCCTCATTTGGTGTAAAATTATATCTCAAGAAGATATTTGAAACAAATTTAAGCTAGCATTTGGCCATATATTCCCAAATTTGTTCTGAAAAATTTAATTTAGGTGAAGTTTGGTTTGAAGATGAAAATGTGTTTGGACATCAGTTTTCAAAACATATTTTTCAAATTTATTTTGGAAAAATATGAAACATGACTTATACCCACAAGTTTTAAAAATTATCACAAATACCCAACAGTTTTATCAATAACATTCATTATATTATCGCAAACCATAGTCCTGAACATAAATAAATTTGATACAAAATTATCATTTTTATAATGAATTACATGATACATTATCAGGTGACCGAGAAGACGAAGCAACATTGTTACAAAATAATAAATGGTGGGCTCTTTTATAAAATACAAAAGTTTGGGGCAATTTTTAAAAAATATAATAGTGATATTTTGGCATTGAGCTGGTTTTGGGATTTGGGATTTTACCATCTATGGCCAAACATGTATTTGTCAAATAAAACCCAAATTTATTTTGACAAAATCTATGGCCAAACGGGTCCTAAGACAGTCAATTTATTTGGGCCAAATTTCGACCCAACAAAACAGTAGGCCGAAATAGAAGAAACTCATATTGCAAACTGATGAAATTAGTCTTCTAACTGATCTAAACGTATTCATTTGTCGAGATCGAGGTCTCAACTTCAAATTCCATCGAACTGTGAGTTTATGTCCTATTATACTAGTGTTCTGTGTTAGTGCGTGGTAAAAATGTACTAATATCTGCCTGCTGGAAGTATAAATATGTAAATATCCCTAATATTTGACCAAAAAGAGTACAAATTAATTATTTAATTTCTTCATTAAAAACAATAAATATGCGCTTTAAACAGTCCAATTATGAAGACAATTATGTATTTGCATCACTGGAAAAACAAAATGGCTGCAGGAAGATGATGAGTAATGACAAGCATGAAAAAACATAAATTAATTAGGGTGCTTTTCATGATCGCAAATGTGTCCATATATTTACATCTTTTTAGCTTACTATCATGTCATTTCATCAAATTTCAACCAAAAAAAAACTTAAAATGAAAATGCATAACATAATTAGAAATCATATTTAAGATTAAGTAATTAATAAGAAAAGTTCGAACAATGATTATTTATTAGTATCAAAGATTTGAACCATAAAATAGATGGAGCCTGGACTCTGGAGAGTGCCTCGATCATGTCACGTAGGGGCAAAAACTGCAGCAAATGGAAGTTTTCAAAAGAAACCATTCACTATTTTTTATTGAATTATTCTCGAGTTTAGTGACTTTTGGGTATCCCAGTAAGGGAATCAAATGATGTTTAATTTTCTTAATGTAAGTCAGCAGAATACTGTATATATTGATAACTGGTTGTGCTTTGCTCATCTATTATACAACTACAAACAACTAGTTCTAATATTAATTTGAGAAAAATATCAAGCTTAGTACTCCACCTTGCAAGGAACATATATTAATGTAACTATATAAGGTCAGCCACAAAAATTAGTTTACATGATTCCACACCTCACCAGCTAGCTTAATTTACATGTTACAATAATAACTACGTCACATCTCAAACAAGTTGGAATTAATTATATAAATCATCATAGACCATGTCGTGCTATTGAAGCTCATCTAATGTAACGTGTGCCTTGCTGAACACGCTGCCATGATTTATTTCAGATTGTAAACGTTCATCATATATTGACTCTATCTAGATCAATCCTACTTCTTTATCCGAACTTAGGACCGACAATATGAGCAAACTCACACCGATGAAATTACCAAGCTAACTAGCTATACATGGAAAGGAACAGTCATATAAGAAATATGAAACAATAAGAAAATTCCATACTAGAATTAATAAATAGAACTAAACTTCAATCTGCAACATGAGACAGCTAGCTAGCCATTAGACAATCCAATTATTGGGAAATCAATTTCTCCCAACAAAAACAACCACCAGCTGAGTCAAACTTAACCTTTTGTATTTCCAATATCTATATTCTATAATAACCATAGGACATATATATCTAGCTAACAAGAAGATCAAAAGTTCAAGAAAAATGAAAAAAGGAGAAGATGATGATCAAGCTTCTAATTCTTCTATTGTATGGGACTGTGGGAGCCCATTGTATGATTCTTTCGAGTTAGTTTCACTTGTTCATTTGATCGAACGGAATATGATGATCAGCTTGCCATTGCCGGAGAGATTTTCGTCGGCGACAGAATCGGAGTCGGAGACTGACGTACTGAACATGAGAAGATTAATTTATAGCTACAAGGAAGGAGAAAAGATTAGTAATGGAAATAAGGTGAGAAAACTTAAGAGGGAATTTTATTGCTTTTGTTCTAGTATTGGTAATTTAATTAACAAAGGTGAGAAAGTGTAATTTGAACAGATGTTTTATCTTTTTCTTTATACAGAGTGATTAATATCTCAGTTTTATTGTTTACGGAGTTATTGTCAAATGTCAATCTCTTTCAATATGAATCTATCTAATTAATTAACTCGAAAGGGAAGAACTTACATGTTTTTCTCTTCTTTTTTTTTTGTTTTGTTTTGTGTGTGTAAAATTAATATCTGTCCGTTTGTGATGATTAACAAATATGAGAAGGTGTGGATAGTTAAGTGCTAGCATTACAGTTTGTGAAATCAAAATTTGATCACGCCCAACTATACCTTATAAAAGGACTAAGCGGGTCGTTGCAAATATATTTCGGCTAATAAGTCCGGAGTCGAATCCCACAGGTAATTAACCTATCAAACACAACTACTAGACTCGCACGAACTCACGCAATCAATCTTCAGAAATATTTAAGTAACAATTTGGATGTTTACTAACTAAATATTACGTAATGAAAATGCAACAATTAATAACTAACTACTAACGATTGTAGACAAGAATTGGAATGATCTAAGGTTGTGATTTCCCCTATTGTCGGAATCTTTTCCGCTACGTTTTCTATAAATTTGCCTAAGTCTTCTATCATGAGCACTCTAACTGTCGTAACTCTCTCCCGAGTAATTACCACAATTGACTAGACATACTCTCCCGAATTACGCTAGCTGGCATTAAGTACGACTCACTCGGATCGCACCAAGATTTCGTTATCCCTAATCCCACCTTTAAACCCTTCGTATTGATCCCTCATATACGTTAGGAGTGATATTGTTCAACAACTACCTAAATATGCACTCTCTCCCGAGTAATACACACTAAATAGGCACAGTCAATTGAGGGCCCTTCGATCAACCGTAATAATATTATAGTTGAACAAATAGAGAAAATACTACGGCAAATCTATATTAACGTAATAAGAAAATCATCCTTCAATAGGTTCTATCAAAACCTTAGATTAGGAGTTTAGCTATTCATACTCATAGTAACAATATCCGAAATATTTTGCATAATTAAATTACAAAGTAAGGATAAAGGGATATAGAAATCAATGAGTCTAGCTCCCAACGGTTGTTCCACGAGCTATCCTTGCCTCCAATTACCAAAGGTCCTTCAAAAGTGGCATTTTAGGTCTATTTATATGTGTAGGAAAAAACCTAAACGAGTAGGCCAAGTCCTAGTCAAACCAGGAGACGAAATAAGCCTTCAAAGTTAGAAATGTGCACGCCTCTGTCACGACTCAAAATCCCACCACAGGCGTCGTGATGGAACCT